CTACCATTTCTAAAAAACATAACAAATTCCACCTTGTCGAACACTTTGGAGGTGAGTTGCTATTTAGTATTATCTAGTGAGTAGAAGCTGTTTTTGCGAATATTTTGCGATTACATTGGTTTTTGTCCTTGTCGGGTCTCATTCATTGAAACACGATTTTGGAATACAAATTCCTTTCTCTAATTTGCGTCAGAACCTTTTTGTGGAGTAATTAATGATAAAAAATAAAAGCAATAACTCATTAAGTTAAATCTCGAGATTTTTCAGTTTTTATAATTATTTGATTGTTGAATTTTTGAGAAACGCTGACCTCTTCTCAGAAGAGAATTTTATGCTATCGAAAAAAGTGAATTAATTAATGTAAGAAACCACTATCGACATGGGTGGAAAAAAACGCGGTATTCATTTAGTTGTTTATATCCAGATCCGAAAAGGGGTGATGGTTTATTCGTTAAGTTCAATTGTCAATTGATGCATCTTTGGGTAAAATATATTTATACGATTATTATATCTGCTTTTCTTATACTAATTTGCATCAAATTTTGTGTGAAAAATGGAATTAAGTGCTCAAAAACATTTGAAATGATGACAGTGGCATACGGTGATTGTACCCTGAGTCAGAAAAATATTAACAAGTGGTACTAGCTTTTCACAGAAGGCCGAGAAGATGTGAATGACTTTAAATATATTTTAGAGTTGTATAGTTATACATTCTTAAATTTTATATTTTTTATCGTCAGTACCGGGCAGGCGGTCCTAGATTGAAGGGAAATGTGAATAACCAAGAAGTACTTGATAAAAATAACTGCGTAAACGTAAGCGAGACATAAGTGGAACCACCTATTGGTGTGACACCCAAGTCAACTCGCCAAGTTTTTCTGTCAGTGTTGGTGGTTTGACCAATCAACCGACAACTGCGGTAGCAGAAATTTGGGAAGCTAACCTGAAATGCCATCGGAAAACGAATCCACATGTTTCTAGAAATGATATGAAATCTAGAAAGGTTAATGCAGTCAAGCTGCTGGAAAATAATTCCATGAAAATCAAAAAATAAATAGATAAGTACTCTTTGATCATTCCCATATTGATTTCAATTTAAGAGCCACCGGTATACAGCTGTTTCAGCCTATTGGGCATCGTCAGTACCGGGCAGGCGGTCCTCGATTGAAGACAAAATGAGAAAAAACCAAGAAAGTACTTGATAAAAATAGCTGCGTAAACGCAAGCGAAACATAAGTGGAACCACCTATTGGTGTGACACCCAAGTCAACTTGCCAAGTTTTTATGTCAGTGTTGGTGGTTTGACCAATCAACCGACAACTGCGGTAGCTGTCTTGGAATGCCATCGGAAAATGAATCCACATGTTTTTAGAATTGATATGAAATCGAGAAAGGTAAATGCAGTCAAGCTGCTGGAAAATAATTCCATGAAAATTAAAAAAAAATAAATTAGGTACCATTCTGATCATTTCCATATTGATTTCAATTTAAGAGCCACCGGTAGCAGCTGTTTCAGCCTATTGGGCTTCGTCAATACCGGGCAGGCAGTCCTCGATTGAAGATAAAATGTGAGAAACCAAGAAAAGTACTTAATAAAAATAACTGCGTAAACGCAAGCGATTGTAACCACATATTGGTGTGACACCCAAGTCAATTTCGTCAAGTTTTTATGTCAGTGTTGGTGGTTTCACTAATTAACCGACAACTGCGGTAGCAGAAATTTGAGAAGCCTTCTAGAAATGATATGAAATCGAAAAAGATCGAAAAAGGTTAATGCAGCCGAGCTGCTGGAAAATAATATAAGAAAAGCAGATATAATAATCGTATAAATATATTTAACCCAAAGATGCATCAATTCACAATTGAACTTAACGATTAAACCTTCGCTCCTTTTCCGATATGGATATAAAACAACTCAATAAATAACAATGCTCTCGCCAATCTCTCGGGCCCCGCGATTTTTCAGGTACCGGGTTTTTTCCACCCATTTCGATATTGGTAACTTACAATAATTCCATGAAAATCAAAAAATAAATAGATAAGTACTATTTTGATAATTCCCACATTGATTTCAATTTAAGAGCCACCGGTAGACAGCTGTTTCAGCCTATTGGGCATCATCAGTACCGGGCAAACGGTCCTCGATTGAAAATATGTGAATAACCAAGAAAAGTGGCATATAGGAATCATCAGAATGGTACTACTCATCTATTTATCTTTTGATTTTCATGGAATTATTTTCCAGCAGCTTGACTGCATTAACCTTTAAATAACCTATTTATATGTTTCTTCTATTTATCTGTCGATTTCATGGGAATCAAGTGCTTTGCACTTATCGTTAATTACTCTGCTTACTCCGTGTATTTGTACTATTTATATATTACTAGTACTATGTTGCTGTATCGCTGTTGTTCCAATGTTTTGACAGAATCAGAATCAACGAACTTAGGCGTGCGTAGCGTTATAGAACAGTGCTTTCAAAAAATTGTGTTCTACAGCGCCATCTGGTTGCGAGTTACAGAAAAATTGATAGCCTAAAAACCTTCTCTATGAAAAATTACTTATACATGTCAAGTTTCATCACGATCGGTTGAGCGATGTAGAAGTTTATCAGTTACCAACCAACCAACAAACATCCATTTTTATATAGTAGATTACTATGAATAAAGTTATCATGCCTCAGCCATCGTACTCACCGGATTTGCCCCCCACGCGACTTTTTCCTGTTCCCATGAAAGGATGGCGTTTTGCCTCAATGGGGAATGTTCCTCCTGACGAAAATCATAAGAGCTCTAAAACAACGCATTTTAAACTTATCATTTCAACCTTTTTCTTTAAAACTTTTTTTAAATACTTAAAAAAGAGGAATGAAATAATGCATTTAACATTTAAAGGGATTCGTTTCTATTTCACAATTTGGCAACATCGGTTATAGCTAATAAAGGACAATGAATCTGATATGAGTATGAGACAAACAAAGATGACATATTTCAGAGGCGTGCTGTTCTGTTTACTTATGTTCCGAGTTCCGAGACATTCTGTGACATGTGACATTTTGTGCACCTAACCTATCTTCCTCTATGTAAATAAATAACAAAACAACTGTTGTTTACTGATGGGCACTTCAGCAAGATTGACATCTGACCTCTTTTGGTCGAAAGTCAGCCTTTAGGTGCTTATACTTTCTGATCGGTTAATTGTTTTATCATGACTATTCCTAATTGAGTTTTTGCATGGGGGCCCCCAAAAACTAACCGGCGGCTATTGTTGTTAGCGTCGAGCATTCCTCAGTGAATCTAAGGAAAAGTGAATCGCGGTCGAATGGGGAATGTTCCTCAATTTGCTGTGATAACCCAAATTGAGGAACATTCTTCATGAGGAGATAAAAACCGAATTGTTGAGAGAGCTTAAGGACATACCAAAAACTGCATATTAGAACTGCTTCGAGGATTGAAAATAACGCTGGCACAAGTCTATTATATCTGAAACGAACTACTTTGAAAGTGGCAAAATAGAAATTGATGAATGAATAAAAATTTTTTGAGAAGAATGAAAATGTACCAGCGTAGTATACTATATTGTGTAGCAATCGTTTAAAAAAAATTGAATTTTGTGAAATTGTCACTTCAAAATTTGTGGACTGTTCACTTACTGTTTTCTTACTTGGGAGAAATTAAACTTTATTGAAGATTTCAAACAACTCAGAATTCTCTTCAAGTTATGCATTTTTATTCATTTTTTACTATAATTTTTTTCTTTCTTCAAGGCCCAAAATTTCCCAACTTTTTCCCAAGTCGAAAAAGCAGGGGGGAGGTTCTCCCATCCCCCCCATGGCGACGGCCCTGGTCGGAACTAATGAAATAAAATTCTTGTTTGATTTGGGTTCTCGAAGGGTGAAACATTAGGAAAAAACGATTGTTTTTGTCTATTTGTCGCGAATAACTGCCAAATTCTTTTTATTATCACATGTTACAGTGACATTTAAAACAATAAGTCCATTCAATAGAAAGGGATTTTCGGTAGTTTCAAATTATCCAAGAATGGTTAGTAAATGTTTAAAATGCACAATAACTTTTCCTCCGCGCCGCACTAAATGAGATTAAAATAAAAATAAATATAGTTTAAAACAACTAAAAAACAATAAACTAAGTACTAGTAATATTATGATAAAAGCGTTGGCGCTTTGTGCCATATTTTTTGTATATCAAGTGCCCGTCACTTTTTTCACAATAATACCAGTATTTTTCGATCGTTATTGTTTTTAGCTTATTAAAAAAAATATTTTTAACTTTTTAATTCGATGTTCTTTAAAAGCGTGTTTTTTTAGTTTTTTTAACTATTCTTATTTTTTAGTTAGGTATGCTATAAAGGCGTGTTTTTTAGTCTTTTTAAACTATATTTATTTTATCTAAACTTTAGGATCAATCAGCCGTATATTGTTTAAAAAAATGACCGATATTTCCGATTCCGGACAGGGAGCCTGAAAATGAGCTACCAAGCCCAAGGAAGGCAGCAGGCGTGTAAAGGAGGGTTACAAATAAGGCAGCAGGCGCGCGTCTTAATAAAAAAAAATACTTTTTCCAAATGAAGAAATACATGTAAAGTGAGTTCGAATTATATCAAGGAGATTACGTACAGCGCCATCTGCTTGCGAATAGATCAAGCAATAATGTCGATAATTCTGTCAAATACAGATCCCGACTTGAGAGTTACAAATAAACTGACAAACAAACAAACATACATACATACAGATGGAGCTAATAAAAGCGTGTTAAAAATCAAAAAGAAATATCTCGATCTAAAAAAGATATCTATCAGTCTCGGTTTAACGGCATTCTTCAGCTGAAATGATGAGGAAAAATTTAAAATACTTGTAAATTTGACCTATTGCCCTTCAATTTCGAATTAAAACTTCAATTTCTTCAATTTTTCTCAAAAATCGCGAACATTTGCCGAGATGTGAATTTTTTTCTCATATGCTATATTTTTTCGTCAAGTAGAAAAATAGTTGACACCCAAAAAGGTTTGTCTTGGCAGGAGGCAAATGACAGGAGAAAGGTTTCAGGGTGAGTGATAGTAAAATAGTAAGGATATAGGCTTTCAACCAAAACAGTAAAATAGTTACTGCACAGAATACCTTACAGAAGTGATACTCTGCACGAAACAGGAACTATGATTACTGTCAACCTAAAAATTTCATCGAGTGGTTAGTGAACTTGAACATGGTGAAATTAAGCTAGTTAGTTTGAAATTATTGAAATATTTTCATATTAACCTTCGTCATCTTTATAATACGTCCACTGCAATCCAATTATGTGTCTGATAAGTTCTAAATAATTTCAATTTACTGCTAAAAATGGCAACACGTCGAACATAGAATATAGGTCACAGAAACTTGATTCCTCAAGATCAATTGCACTAACACCAAACTGATATTTTTGCACTCGACGCGCGTTTCGCCAACAAAGTTAGCATCCTCAAGAGAAGAAAATTGAATCAATTGGATCAGTTTTCTTCTCCTGAGGATGCTAACTTTGTTGGCGAAACGCGCGTCTAGTGCAAAAATATCAGTTTAGTGATGGGGCAATTGATCTCGAAAAAAGTTATTCAACTTTCACACCAAAGGTTCCAATCTCATCGTTATTGATTCCTCAACATCGAAGTGCCGCCAGATGAGTGGCTCTTCTCTAAGGTATTCTGTGGTAACTGTTATTTAAGTGTCAGATCAATTTAAAATATCATTGCTTTAATATGTTAAAAAAAGTCTGTCCCACCAAAGAGTTACTATATTTTGATATGAAGAATAGTGTTCAACAAGTCTTCCGTTATTTTTGTTTGTCAATATTATTATGACCACTTTATTATTTGATTGTTTTTTTTTTGACCATATATTTTGAAAGTTTGACGCTTGAGAATATATTTAGAAGTAGGATATTCTCAAGGTTTACTTGCAATTGAAAATAATTGGTCTCAAGGTAGTCAGTTTGATCTGGTCCATTGTGATTGGAATCTGATTGTACCAAAACGACATCCTCTCCTGTCAATACTCAACGTACTGTTGTAACCAAATCCATACCATACTGGTAACCATAAACCAAACGTGACGTAGCTAAGAGCGCGGGAATGTTCAATGTTCCCTGTCACTCGAGAAGCAGCAAGGAGCTCGAGAAGCACCAAAGAACTTCGGCGAAAATTCCACGATGTTCGATTACGATATTTAAACGCTAGCGGCGGGCATATCGAGACCTGAACTTGAGAAATAAAAAACTACAACGTCACCGACTTATCGACTCTGAGATATCAGCGACATGGATTCCAACGACAACATGTCGGAAGAAGGAAATCAAGCGGAAAAAGTCCGAAAAAAGAGGAAAAAAGAGCCAGAAGCGGCCCAACAGACCAAACAGATAAAGTCCGGAATTTCACAGGCCGAACGGACTACCATTCCAAAGTTCAATAAAATCACACCCGCTTTGTTACAAAAACCGGGCGTGGTACCGGAAGACTCCAGACACAGGCCCGCTCAGAAAATCGAGCCGGCAAATCCAGAGAAAATTGAAGACCCGTCGCTTGAATCAATGGAAGTAGGCGACGTAGAACAAGAAACAGATGTCCCGAAAACTGACCGGGTAGAAACACGTAAGAAATCGCGGATAGGCCTCCTTCTATAATCATCCACGTAAAAGAAAAAGGGAAAACATGTAACACGATCGCCGCCGCGCAAAACATCTCCATCTCGCGGGCGGTAAATACAACAGACGGCATCAAAGTCCATCTAAAAAACACAGACGACTACAGGAAAATCACTCGGATCCTTGATCACGAGTAGATTCCCTACCATACTTACACAATGCAAGGCGAAAAACCACTTAGAGTAGTTTTTCGTGGAGTCCCGGAGTCCATAGAATGTGATGACACCAAGACCGAACTCCAAGACAAAGGATTCGAGATCCTCTCTATTGTCCGCCTGAGTAAAGCAAAAAGACACCGATCCCGTTTGTGCTGGTTTTGGTACCGAGAAGCCAAAACAACATTTACGAAATCATCAAAATCCAAAATGTGCGCGTGAGCGCCGAATCACAGAAACCGAGAAACAGAGCAGGACATTGTTATAGATGCCAGAAGTTTGGACACACACAAAGAAACTGCAAAGCAGTCCCGGCTTGTGTCAGATGTGCCGGACGGCACCTAACCAAGGAACGTAAAAGACCCAAAAATTCGCCCTTGCGATGTTTTAACTGCAAGGGAGAACACCCAGCGAGTTTCCACGGATGCCCTGAATGCCCCGACAACAAAAAAAGGGCCTCAGATAGGCCTAATGAAAACCGACAGTCCCCAAACCCAAAGCCTGTCGGAAGAAATACAGTCAGAAGCGACATCTTGTACGCGAGAGCCGTTTCATCATCAGAGAACGCCTGTAACTCTCCCGAAGGTCTCCCAATGGCCTTAGGGCAGTTGCAAATGCTTCTAGTGAAGTTCCAGGAGCTGCAGTCCGTGCTCGCCGGAAAATAAAATGAAGAAACAGTGCCCAAACGGCTGCAAAGACAACAGAAGCACGCTGCATCTTCTGCGTACAGGGCCACGAGCCGAAAAGAAGACGTCAGAGGATAAATCATGATCTTTTTTAGTGGGTTTTTGCCTTCGAGAAGTGTCCTGAACGTATTCGTCGTACAGGATCCATTTGTGATGATCCTTGTGATGTGAGGGTAATCAAATCCTCGTCCTGGATTACGGAGCTCATCTTCGAGGCTAAAATCTTCGGAACGAAACTTGGCAAACCAACGTCAAACAGTGCATAAATTACCTCTATAATTTAATCATGAATCGACTTACGAATGAACAAAGCTTGCAAATTATTGAATTTTATTATCAAAATTCATGCTTGGTGAATAAAGTGCATCGTGCACTTCTTCCAAGTTTCTTCGGTCTACTGCGAGAGCTATTCGGAAGCTTATGACTAAATTTCGAACCCAGTGTACATTATTGGATATTAAACCACCAACACGTATACGTAGAGTGAAGACCGAAGAAAATATTGCGGCTGTATCCGCCAGTGTTCGAGATGACCGTGAAATGTCGATTCACCGCCGTTCGCAGCAATTGGGTCTCTGTTACTCCCAACTACATGAAAAATTTTGCGAAAGGATTTGGGTGTAAATCCTTATAAGCTACCGCTGGTGCAAGAATTGAAGCCACACGACCTCCCACAACGTCTTACATTTAGTAAATGGGCGCTGGCAAAGTTGGAGGAAGATCCACATTTTTATCGAAAAATTGTGTTGAGCGACGAGGCTCATTTCTGGTTGAATGGATACATTAACAAGCAAAATTGTCACATCTGGAGTGAAGACCAGCCACAAGCATTGCAAGAGCTACCGATGCATCCTGAAAAAGTCACTGTTTGGTGTGGATTATGGGTCGATGGCATCATCGGGCCGCACTTCTTCAAAGACGACAATGGCCGGAACGTTATTGTGAATGACGAGCGGCTACCGTGTGATGATTGTTACCCAAAATGGAAAAATTGGACATGCCTGAGATGTGGTTCCAACAAGACGATGCCACATTGCACACGGCATGCGAAACAATGGCCCAATTAAGAGCCGCCTTCGGTGAACAGTTTATGTCACGTTTGAGGCCCGTCAATTGGCCGCCTAGATCGTGTGATTTAACGCCTTTGGATTATTTCTTGTGGGGTCATGTTAAGGCTTATGTCTACATGGCTAAACCAGCAATGATTCACGCTCTGGAAGCCAATTTTGAAGCATTTATACGTGAAATACCCGTCGATATGTTAGAGAAAGTGTGTCAAAATTGAACCTTGCGCATGGGCCGTCTAAAGCGGAGCCGCGGATAACATTTGCATGAAATCATCTTCAAACATTAAATTATATTGATCGTTCTATCGATTCCAATAAAGATTTCATCAATTTTTTCAGTTTTTTTGTTTGGAAAATCAAATCCCCGTTAGAAAAATTGGCCAAAAATGGCTCATATATAGTAATGAGCTCAAAAGATGAACAAAATTAATGAAATTTGGTGAAAAATGAACAGCATCAATGTTTAGAGTACATTGAGATACGGATCTACAAAAACACATGTCATTAAAATATAGTGTGTGGTTCCGATTAGATCATACCAAAATTGAATGAGTAGATAATCTAAAGGAAAACTAAAGTTATTCATTTCGAATAATTTATTGAATATCATTTCAGATACAATGAGTTCTCAGTAAAAAACGGCGACCCAATATGGAAAAAATACTTGGAACAATTCAAGAATCCTCTGATCCTGCTGCTGCTTGCCTCGGCTGTCGTTTCTGCTGCAATGAGTCAAATCGATGATGCCGTCAGTATTACAGTAGCTATAATTATAGTAGTCACCGTAGCTTTTGTTCAAGAATATAGATCTGAGCAATCTCTGCAAGAATTAACCAAACTTGTACCGCCATCATGCCACTGGTAAGTATACTTATTATAAAGAAGTGTTGACATGGTTCCTCTATTGCAGAAATCGATTCTTCCTCAAAAGTCGAAAATATTTTATAGTTATGTGTGTACTTCTATGTGGCACAATATTGATAATCATTTAACTTTAATTTCGACGAATTAAATATTACTGAAATTTTTTCCCAACACCAAACCGTTATTTTAACACCTCGACACGTGTTTCGATCACCAAGTGATCATCTTCAAGAGGAAGATCAGTCTACCTCTTGAAGATGAAGATCTTCCTCATCTGGATCTTCTTAGCTCAGTTCCCTTCAGGTTGTTTGGGCAAACTTCTTATTTTCGGCAAAATAAGATTATATTTGACTTTTTGCTTTTTATTCCAAAAACAAAACTGACAACAATAATGGTAACTATATAAAACAATAAACAATCTCGACTTCAATACTAGATGTGAAATTAATTCACAACACAGGTAACTTATCAGTTTCAATATCCAGCTCGAAGGACCACACGTGTTTAGACTGCTTTTTCTGTGATGGTTGAGTCTAAGGTCATCAACGTTCATTGATACAAAGAAATATTCAATGTTTATCAAGGGACAATAGCAATATGAACATTTCATTATTAACAAATGAGTCAAGAGTATAAAGAAGTGTGAATATTGATAAGAAACGATTTGAAATAATTGGATTTTGAAAAATATTGATCCACAAACACGCACAGGCAGACTTAATGTATTGGGTTACAGTTTTATAGGACTAGGTTTTGAGAGTTGAAGTACTTATATTTTAATCTTTGATGAGATTGGTTAGCCCAAAAATTAGTAATCAGGTTTGACCACCACCGCCAAACCTATGAAAAGCACTGAAAGTCACAGCAACCACAAGTCAACTACCTGCCTTATAAGTCCAAACTCCGACTAGAAAAGACTGTATTCTCCCGGAGGAGGGAATACTAAGAGGAGATAGCTGTTGGTACACGGATAGTTGAAAGACACATTCAGGTTCTGGTGCAAGTATATACAGTCGCAGATCCAGAATATAGACCTAAGCGATTGCAGTTCCATGCGAAAATCTAAGCCACTTATTTGTGTGTGGAGAGATCCATGTAAACCAACCTCAATCATAAATCAATTCAAACATTCTCGAACAGTCAAGCGGTTCTCTCACCACGCAACGTTCAAGTTGCGCGCATTTTCATCCGACCAGAATTTGTTGTTGGCATTGCTTCAGGTCCTGCAAGACAAACCCTGAATACCTGGAGGGCAAGAGGTATTTCTAATTTGTGGCAGAGCACATACTTGGTGCTTGCCCCATTACGGATCCAATTAGGTCCCATCATCGGACCTGAGAGATCAGCCACCAATAATAATTAATAGGATTCGTTGATCGGTCGAATTTGAAATGCGTGCGTTACAATAAACCTTAGCGGTCTCTTCAGTCTATATTCTCATCATTGTTTCAGTTTATTCAAATGATGAGTTGAGTCATGTCACTCATGTAGTTCAAAAACTTAAACTGTTAGATATTTATACAAGTGAAAAAAGATTTCAAATTACGTCAGTACTCAAAGTCAAAACAGGAATTCAAAATTTTTTAAAACGCAGTTTGTCACTTCCATACAAACCATAAAGTGATTCCACAGGCAAAATTACTTTTGGCATACAAAAGACCTGTCAAAACTATAGAATGTTGTAACTAATTAATCACCGATTCATTGTAAAGAGAAAAATAAATTTCTAGAGTGATCTAATGATTTGTCACTTCGATCTCTGGCTAGTTCACAAAAACCGTTCTAGTTGTGTCATTCCAATCTCTGACTAGTTCACAAAATTTTTTCAGCTTGAGAGAATCGACGCCGGACAGTTTCCTCGCTCGGGAATTGGTTCCTGGCGATGTGGTATTCCTGAATGTCGGTGACCGAGTTCCTGCAGATATACGTATATTTGAAGCAACTGATCTCACTATCGACGAAAGTTCTTTCACGGGTGAAACGGAACCGGCAAAGAAGAACACTGATTCTGTCATCAGACCAAATGGAGCACATTCCTCGAACACCAACATCGCCTTCATGGGCACCCTAATAAGATGTGGCGTTGGAAAAGTAAGATTATTACTCAAATATTTCGAATTGATACCTGATTCAGAACTTTTAACATTGTGTTAAGATATTGTAATCTATAGCAGGTTAATGTCATTACAAATAATCATCATAAAACATTAGACTTGGTTTTTGTACTGACACAGACCATGTTTACGTAAGCATTTATATATACCATTTATTTTATGACAGTTGTTGTTCTAAGTATTTGCATGGAACAAAAATAACTACACATCTAACTCTATGAAATCCGTCTCTGACTACCATCTTTGTCAAAACAACTCATTTAACTAACTGTTCGTAAATTCAGTCAGATAGTTTAAGGAAAAAAAGTTGCTCCAAGGAATTCCCATTTTATTTTTTATTATTAATTTACTGACCCCTTGGTGAAAATTAAACACAATATTCTTCACAATAAAACAATTTTCACACTCAAAAGTTTACTAAAGGCGCGTTTTGCTAAACAGTATCATTCACAGTCAAACTGGTACATTGAAGTATTTTAGAATGCATTTTATACAACAGTAGTTACAGAATCTAATTAGTTCATAATGAGAATTCTAGGTACACAGGTGGATTTTAAGAAAAAGTAACTACTATACTACCAATAAGGATGAGTGATAAACTTCTTGTTGGTCTTTTAATAAGGAATTTCATTGTTTTCGTTTATCGATTTCCAGGAATTCCGACAGGTCCAATTCATGCCTTTTATTTTCTTAAAATAATATACTATAGTTCATGTTGAAATCGTGATTGTTCTCTAAAAGTTGGCAAGCTTAGGTAGAATTAAGCTTCATCAGTTCAAATTCTTTTGTGTTCCGAAATTTCTAGACATTCTGGCTATATAAACTTTTAGCTTACAGACACCTGATTTAGTCAAACATTGATAAAGACAATCTGGCATTGGAATATTGGGTTCTATTTGTTCTATTTGGTTCTATTTGTACATTAGAACCTATGTTGTTGTGATCAATGATTACAGATCAGCTTTAAAAAAAACATAAAGACCTACTCAGAAAGGATTGAGGATTTCAAAAATTAGTGACTTATCATTTTTCTATTTAAAATGATTTAGTACAAATCCCTCACGAACAAGAATAAAAAATTATGCTGTGAAGCATATGCTTTTTTTCTGGGGCTGGTACAATAACACTACCTTCCAGTATGTGAATTCGGTATCTGTAGCTTTTCTGAGTAACTTTTTTTATTCATTCACTTGTAAATTCAGAGACTGTTTCCAGTGCTTTTTCAATGTTATCTCTCATTATTGGAAAATAGTCATTCACTTCATAGGTAACTGTCCAATATGCCAATGAATCTGAAATTCAAAATATTAGAATGCTAATTTGTAAAAAAAAACATTTTTCTGACCCGACTTGGAAGTGAATTAATAAATGGGTTAAACAATAAGTGATTTGTGATTTCAGGTCACAATAAGTTTTCTTTAATAATTCGCGTCCTTATATATTTCACTTTCATACTTCATTGTTTATTAATGTTTATTTTTTTGTAATATTATCTTCCTTTTCAATCAAATTATATGAATATTTTGACCATGGACTTTCAAGTGGAAGTTTGAACCTCTATCAGTCACCAATCACTTTCAAACAAATCATCAGGGTACGCTTAGAGCAAAGCTCTAATTGTGTATCTTAGAAATCTAAGGGAATGTCTAAGAGAAAGTTCTGATATTTACTTTTCACAAAGTCAGAGCCACGAATTGTTTTTCTCAACGCCATTTTTTAAAGCCAAATTTTTTCTAATCACAGAATCCTTTTCGATTCACAAAACCACAATCACGCATGACATGATTCTTGGATTCAACTGATATGAAATTCAGGTGATTGTTTTTGTAGTTGCCAATATCAGTCACACCTAATTCAGAAATTTATAGGGCATTCATTTTTATCACAAATCAATAAGCGTGTTCCTTCATACAGATTATTACTGTAAAGTCCCATTCATGAAAGCATTTTATTTTCACCTGCAGTTCTATTTACTTTTAATTTGCCTGTTGAAAGTTCAAATAATTGTTATTCTAAAAACATAAAAATAGTTCATGAATATTACTGGAGAAAAGAGAATTGGTACTATCTTTGTTAACACTTTTATTAACTAACGTTACTGCAGTTTCGTCCTATAAGGACATTTTCAAACTTATACATTAAACTTAAACATGCAAACTGCAGTAACGTTAGTTACAAATAAAAGTGGTAAAAAACATAGAAAGTTTCAATTCTCTTTTCTCCATTATGATTTCGTACCACGTAGTAACGGCTACATCCATCAATTTATTGAATATTACTGGAGTTTTTTCCAACACCAAACCGTTATTCAAACCGATCAAACTGAAATTTGATATTCCTCTTGAAGATGATCACTTGGTGATCGAAACACGTGTCAATGTCTTAAAATAACGGTTTGGTGTTGTGAAAAAAACTCCAGTAATATCCATTACTACACCAAAAGTTCCAAAGAGTGCATCTCAAATATATAAAAAGAGTTCTTCAAAGATAAAATAGACTATCACGAAACTTCAATGGTTGAGAAGTCAGTGTAGACAAATAATTATTTATTGTTGTACTTGGTCATTAGTCAAATTCACTTTTATCCACAAGAAATATAGTTCCTTTGTTCCTTTTCATTACTCATTTTTATTTTTCCAGGGAATAGTTGTAAGCACAGGTACAAATAGTGAATTTGGATCTGTGTTCAAAATGATGCTGGAAGAAGAGGCGCCAAAAACACCACTACAAAAATCCATGGATAAATTAGGAGCACAACTCTCCATGTATTCGTTTGGAATAATCGCTTTAATCATGGTTATAGGATGGATTCAGGGTAAATTAATAATGGAAATGTTGCAAATCGGCGTCAGTTTGGCTGTTGCAGCAATTCCCGAAGGTGAGAAAGTTTAATTGTATATTGAGGGGATGTAGACGGAACAATACAACTCACGTTAATTATTAATTGACGGTTATGTTGGAGCATGTATTAATAATAAGTAAGTGGAATGTTGAATGAATCATTTTAGGGTATCTTAACGATTTTGTTCACAACAGTGTCATTTGATATCATGTTTTGAATATGTGTCATTATGAAAGTAGTATATTGCAATTTGAGTTAGGTATATGTATGAGTTCATTCATAGGTAGTTGGTGGAGGCTTTTATCCTTATTTGTAAAAACTTTATTGCTAGAGCTGTACTCAAGCCTATTCTCATTGTCTAAGCTGCTCAAAAGTCCATACTCTCATACCTGGGCAGAGTTTTCCCCCTGACATTTTGACGTCTTATACTCTGATTCAGAAATGTTCTTAAGGAGCTGTCATCGATACCTCTTGTGGTAGATGTTGAAAATCTTGGCGCAAGGGTTGGACAATCCATTGATGATTCTGCTCTTAGATAGATAGATAGATATTTATTTAATCTCTTATGGTTGCTATACAACATGAGATAAGTCACAGTACATAAATGCCAATTGTTGTCTTATTGTTCTAAACATTCTTGGGGAGCTCAGATTCTTGAAAGTGTTTTTTTAAGTAATGAAAAAAGATAACCATTATGAAATCGAAGTAACTTTTGATCTTTTCTATAGGTTTGCCAATCGTCGTGACAGTAACATTAGCATTGGGTGTAATGCGAATGGCAAAGAGGAAGGCAATAGTTAAAAAATTACCAACGGTAGAAACGTTAGGCTGTGTTAATGTGATATGTTCTGATAAAACAGGAACAATAACTAGGAACGAGATGACTGCCACTGTGCTGGTTACGTCTGATGGATATATAGCAGAAATTACGGGTGCTGGTTATAATGATCATGGACAAATATTACTACGCACTAAGTATGATTTTCCAGATAAGGCTAGAGAAAGTATACACGCATTGTTGGAGGTAAGAAAAAAATAGCTCTTTTTCGATAATATTCGATAATATTTGCNAAAAATAATAATACAGTACATACATACCCATTTTATGTATTTATCATTAGTGCCAGTTGTCAAAACATAGTTGGCGTTTGTAGTTTCCAATTTTGAATTTGGTTTTAAACTCAGTTTTCTCAATATCAAATTGAAGTTACATCGTAAATAATGACAACTGACACTAATGACAGATTCACAGAGTAGCCAACTTAGAAAAAATACATGAACTCCAAATTTAATTGTTAACAGATATGCCCATTATAGATTATTAGATTACATTTACTGCTTGTGTTTCAAATGTGTAAATATACAACATTTTTGGGAAAACCAGATTGTATGTCCCAAGTTTTCAGCTCCAACATTACAAACATATGTTTTCTTAATGTAGAGTGGTGATTGAACTTTATTCTGTGAAAAATATTCCTGAATACTAGTTTAGTGTTTGGCACTTGACTGTACTTGAGTTGTTTTAAAACCAGTTTTTGAATAACTTTGCATTTGTATTGGGAGGCTATTCATTTTTGGCTGATAAAGATGTAAACAGGAAAATTATTTCGGTAGTTCCATCTGAAACTAGTTTCAATATGGATTTTCATCAGTTATCGACCAAGTTGTATTCAATTATACTCTTTTCAATTTAATAAGTTCACCGTCTCATAATACATTTTATCTATTGAAGTTGATAAAACAATCCAGAATATTAGGTTACTGAAGTAGTTCTTACATTGAAATTTGTTGGTTCATTCGACATTTAATTCATATATATTCTATTCAATAAACGCTTCGAAAAATATTTGAATCAATTTGAAATTTTCATACATTATTCGAAATCAAATTTTCCAAAATTGTCACTCGAGAAGTCCTGATTTTTTTAGGCTCCCTTGATTCATTCATAACCAGTTTTGGCTAGAGTAGAATGACTGTGAGAAAAAATGAATAAATACCAACAATCAAATTTGTTATTTCCGCCAGCATGTACCATTACGAATGTAAATCAGCTCTGTAGC